CTTTTTTATTGCTTCCCCACACTGGCGAGAGTGGGACATGGAAGCATCAACATACACACCAAGATCTTTCTCCTAATCAGCTACCTTTATTTCAGTGGAACCCATAAAATATCTGTACTGTATATTCCTGCTCCCTGCTGTCATACCATTCCAAGAACATCTGGCTGAAGAGCACTGGGTGACCTCCACTAGGAGGACCTCTGCTGTGTGGCCCGACATGACATGATCTGCACACCTGGCCTGGAAGTAACGTTATGCAAACGTCAGGAATGGAGGCAGTATCTCCACTAGGAGGCTCCAGATCACATGACCTCCACAACAGTGCTGGATAAATATATGTATTCAGCTAGTGTAAACATGGACGATGCTATCACAGCGAATGCGAGGCTGAGACTGAAGCGTTACCCTATGTTTCCACTGAGAGACGTGCCGTGTGACTCATTTCCCCACGCGTACAAGTTATCTTAGGTCTGCGTTCACGGTTTGACTTCTGGGATTCAGATCGAGTTCTAGGTAATTTTTTTTCGAACTGGTTGGTTCGACTTTTAAGAAATTTGAGTTCTAATGAGTTACAGAACTGAGGTACCACTTTGCCTTTTTACAGTATTAGTCCAACTTCAGGAACAGATGTTAATCTTATTTAAATCTATGGGAATTGACTTTAATACTATAATTTAAATTTGCTATTTTGATGTGAAATTCTCACCTTTATGTAGCTTAGGATATTATGAGAAATAGTTGTCTTCATAATTTTAAAGGAAACAAGCTGTGAACAGCAGTTGCTGAGTTCTCTTCAGTAGCGTCACGTCCGGCCCTGATGTGGATGTCATATGATTTCCGGCCCCCCAGTGGAGGGGTGTTCCTCAATAATTAATAATATATGGCTGCAGACTCTCAGGCCCCTTCCGTTTGGGTTGACACACAGCAGAGTTCATTATTAGTTTCATTAGTTTTCAAAGTGTAGTTCATCTGTTTAGCGTGTTTGGAAAAAAATGTCCGACATATACATTTGTCCACGGTCTATATTTCATAATTGTTAGTTTATTTTAAACCTAAACATGTAATATATTCATTTTGTTTTTTCTGTTCAAAGTTTTACTGTTTATGCATAAAAAAATCACACAACAAAAACGAAAAATGGCCTTTTTACTGATATCAGCAGGCATCTACAATTAGTTTTCCTGCCTCGATATTTATTATCACTTTTAGAATCTGAAGCATCCTGGATATTAATTTAGTTATAACATTATCCATGGTATAATGTTTTGGAAATGTTTATCGCATTATCTATTGCGTCATTCATTCTGGTTAGATGAAATACATTTACATCAAAATTAAAATAATACTGATGCAATATTGTTACATGATAATTTTATTATTTTATTCTCTCTTGCGCATGTGGGGTCTTAAGAGTGGCAAGACATGAGATTGGCAAACTGTTCTGTGCCTGCATGAACCTGAAGGGGCCTGAGCGGTACCTGCAAGTAAATCGTATTCTAAATATACGTTTTTAACCATATTTGTGTTAGTGTATCCATTTTACGTCACCTTCCATTACCAAAGACCAGTTACAATACTAAGAACAAAAGTACAGAGTGAGGTATTTTGACAGTATTTAAAAGAGTAATGCTATTCTGGCTTTCTCCTGATAAAATTTGTTATGGGGAGTTTGAAAAAAAAAAATGACGCAGTATATAATAATAATAATAATGATCAATCCTTTATTGTTTATTGAAGTTCTTCAACTTGCTCTTTATAAAGTAAATTATAAATTATCCCTCAATTTGCTCTTTATAAAGTAAGCTCTCTCTGAAGGGCAGCCACCTCTTGGGGCACCCAGGGAGCTGGGGGTTAAGGGTCGTGCTTCTGATTACAGACACACAGGCTTAGCCCACTGAGCCACACGCTGCCCCCAATAGTATTACTGTAATACCCCCCAAGCCCACCTAGTATAATATTTTGTTTGGAGTTGTGTAGGTAGTGCAGATGTGGATGAATTAAACTGAAGCACACAAATGACTCATTTCTTAATACTTTTGTATTCTCCAGCCCACAGTAGCAACCCCTCTCACTGCTCCCTTTTTAAAATCTTCTCTAAAGACACAGCTTTTCTTGATGGCATTTGATTTAGGATGAGTTGGCATAAAATGCTGAGTTTGTTGTTCTTTGTTTTATGTTTCTTATTTGATGTCTTTTATTGTTGTTTTTTTAATGATGTGAATCTGTACGGTTACATACCTGCATGAAGTTGGCCCCCCATATGTTTCAGATTTCAACCAAACTGGTCTCAATCGTATGTGCCGCGTTTGTGCCGGATTGTGCCGTTAAAATTTTTGTTTGTGCTGTTTTAGTTTCTGAGATATAAATGTGTGTTTACTTGGTGAGAAATATTGCAAAACTCCGTCCTACTCTCACCTTGCCAGATGCTGAAAAACTGGTTCACGCCTTTATCTCCTCCAGAATCGACTACTGCGATGCACTTCTCATTGGAATGCCCAACAAACATCTTCAAAAACTTTAATACATACAGAACAGTGCAGCAAGGATTCTGATGAGAGTTCGAAAATATGAACACATTACACCCATTCTTCAATCACTGCACTCTCTTCCCGTTTCTGCAAGGATTGAATACAAGGTTTCCCTTATCACTCACCAATGCATCCATGGAAATGCCCCTCTNCCAACAAACATCTTCAAAGACTCCAATACATACAAAACAGTGCAGCAAGGATTCTGATGAGAGTTCGAAAATATGAACACATTACACCCATTCTTCAGTCACTGCACTGTCTTCCCTTTTCTGCAAGGATTGAATACAAGGTTTCCCTTATCACTCACCAATGCATCCATGGAAATGCCCCTCTTTACCTAAAAGAACTACTTACCCCCCTAACCTCAACACGGTCTCGACGATCTACAAATGCAAATCGTCTCCTACTTCCCACGACCAAACTCAGCACCATGGGTGATCGGGCCTTCTGTTCTCCCGCCCCGCGTCTATGGAACACCCTTCCAGACCATTTGAGGGCCCCACAGACTATTGAAAATTTTAAAAAAGGACTTAAGACATTTCTTTTTAATAGAACTTATGGATTTTAATTTTAATTAATTTTATAGGTTTCTTAATTATTGTTTGACTTGCTTGTTTTAATATGTGGTTTTTTTCTCTCACTTTTTTAGGATGACTCATTTTGTGGCACTTTGAGATTTATTTTAAATGTAAAGTGCGTTATAAATTAAATCTATTATTATTATTAATAATAATAATAATAATAATAATAATAATAACAACAACAAGCTGAAAAAGAAGAAGAGTATGTTGGTTTTTTCAAGACAACATAAATATTTCTGATGGACCAACTTCATGTTCAGGCAGACCAGCTACACCAGCACGAAACCAGTATTAACCAGCATGGAAATCATGTCCGAAACGCCGTTAAACAACACAGTCAACATGGACAACATTAACTTCTTTGCAGAATTATGACTGACTTCACTTTGAACTGCTGTTGTTGGTAAAGCACTTACTCTGTAAAGATTTGTCCATACTCGATCTTCTCGGTCCATCGACTGAAAAAAAGATAAAAGTTTGTCTATATACAGGTACAGTTGCAAAATATACATTAATAGCATATTAACTTGAGATGTACGTCTCTACAGACATAAAGCACTGCAAAAGTTCTAACATAAGACGTAACATTTTCACTTGTAAACTTACATTCAACTAACGCCATTTGTCGGTTCTGTCAAGTTTGTAAACTGTTCCCCTGCTAAACGTAAAAATTGATTAAACTTCCCGAGAAAATGACCTGCCTTGAATTTTAATGGATTTTAACTTGGAATACTTTCGGTAATCTTTTCTTTATAGGTGCAATTTTAGGTTGTCGAAGACAACTTCTAAGAATACTTCTAAATAAGCCTATGCGAAAGTGAAAGCTAGACATGCCACTTCCATGTTAGTTCAGGTGTAACACCTGTTAATTTGATCCTGCGTTCGATTATCTCTCGGAACTCGGAAATTCTGAGGTGAGTGACATTCCTGTTTTGGGGGTTGTCTCGTTGTTGTCCCTCTAGTGTTGCACCTGTTGTTAATGTCATTAACACCAAAGCAGTTGAAACTGATTAACAACCTCCTCTGCTACTTAACTGGCCAGATCAATATCCTAGAAGTTTAATTGACTTAATGCTATACTCTGATGAAGAAGTGTTCCTTTAATTTTTTTGAGCAGTGTATACTGTATATACGGTATTACCGTAATACCAGCCAAGCATTGGCCAGCACCCCGCCCTCCCGGATGCACCTCATCTGCCTTTCTGAAGTCTGAATATCCCTAAGGTGGGATGTCTTTAAACCAAACTGGAACTTAGAATAAAGACGGAAGCAGGAAATTACTGAATTACAACTGCGATGATATATAATTCAAAAAAGCGAATCACACATGTAGGGCTTTAAAAAATTATATATTTTTGTTTGTTTAAGTTATTATTTTAATGTATAGGTATGTTTTCGTAACTTAACTTCTCGCGTAAACAGAGAACCTTCTTTATATGAATATAGGTGGTGGGAGGGACTCAGCACAACCTATTTTACGTGGGCCCCAGAAGATATCAGTTTGATTCTTGGAAGTTGTCTTCTTCGATTCGCTATTTTATTTTATTTTATTTTATCTTATTTCATTAAAATTTTTTAGGTCTGATACCTGTCTCTATTAATATTACTGAACCTGGTTCAAATTACAGTGATCCACCGCCTATCGCGGAAGATGCGTTCCACACACATCAGCGATAGGTGAAAATCAGCGATATAATAAGACCGTATAAATAAACTTTTTAAAATATAGTTTAAGACTTAAAATACCCCTCCCACACACTTTAAACACATGCAAACTTATTAAAACAACACATATGATATGTGGATGTCGGGCTAAGGATATGAGTGACATAATAATAATAATAACAATAATAATAATAATAATTAATATGTAGGCCTAATGTATACGTATGTGATTCCATTTTAACGATGGCTTTATTCCGAGGAGTTGCCATCCTCTTTCCTATTTGACTAAAGGAAAGTGATGCGGTGGCTGATATTCTTTTCATCCTTCTTGATGTATCGTACTGTCGATTCATTCAAGCCATAATGGCAAGCGACATCCACCAAACGCTTTCCTTTCCGAAGCATATCCAGGAGTTTTACCTTGTCCTGAATGGTCAAGGTCTTCCTCTGGCGCTTAGGCTCACTACTATCAGAAGGCTTAGAAGATGCAGGACGTTTGGGAGCCGTCGTAGGGCTTAAAACAAAACGAAAACAATCAGACCACAAGCAAGGTACGCGATACGCAGAGAACTGTGAGGCGTCGGGGGAAAACCCGCGAAATAGCGGGGGATCACTGTATAACATTTTCCTCTTGATCTCCCAGTGCCACTGCAGATTATCAACAAATTCTCTATTATTACCTCCTCCCAAATTTAAAATCACTGAAAGCAGCACATACATTACTTCTGTGGTTGATAAAGAACAAAACAGAGAAAACTCATACTGTACACCCTGGGGTAAAAAAAAAAACAAACAAACAAACAAAAACCCTTTCACTGTTTAATTAGGGATGGCAACATAGTAAATGAAATCGACATTTTTTGTAAGGAGTTTAATAATGGCTATTGGTGGCCACAGCCACAGAACAACAGAGAGAGAGAGAAATCTTTCAAAAACATCCCTTTAAACAGCCATCAGATGGCGCCAAACCCCAGGTTCAGGCTCTTCAGTCCCCCCCAATCATCAATCATTCTGCCCCCAGAGAGACCCCCAAGAACAGGAACAACAATTGCAAACACAACAAAGAACTACTTACAATAAAACTATACCCCCTTCCCTAGACTGGAAAACTGCAATTTTTACAACTGACATTTTGTTCTCTTTTATGGCAGAAAGTTTCTTTTGATTTGAAACAGAGCTTATAGAAATTCAGGCAGCCAATGGCACAGCGGTAAAGCCACTGGCTGCAGAGACCCACCTGCCGCTAAACTGCAATCAGTCAGCTGATACTTTATTCTAGGCCTCCGGATTCTGCCCCCGGGCCGAGTGGCCAAATCAGGCCTATGCAGAAACCGGAGACCATGCCAGCGCAGAACGGCCTCCAGTTTGCCACAAAGTACACCCCCCCACACACCCACCTAGGTTAACATGCCTCAGATGTGCACAAGCAGGTGCCCCCCCCAGTGTGTGGATCGTGGGGCTGCTGCCTAAGTAACAGGGGCGTGGCTCAGGGGGGTGTGACTGTGTGTTAATGAGCGCAATGTGATCCTGGATTCCAGCAGGGCTGAATAACACTGAGGTACAAACCATGTCACCATACCATGTAAACAACAACACCCCTCTGCTTTTTATCAAGCCTCGCCTTCCCCAGCAAAAAAAATGCCCCCAGGAGAGACAATCAATACTACTGCGGCCCACTTTCTGGCATTTCCGTGAGCAGAGCAGCTGGGCTGGCGCTGTATATAAATGTTGCCATGCTCTCTTTTTCATCATTCGTTAAACAAAGACCTTTTTTCTTCACCAGTGTTTCCCAATCCGGTCCTCAGGGACCCACAGTCAGTCCACGTTTTTGCTCCCTCGCAGCTTCCTGCCAGACAGTCCACATTTTTGCTCCCATCCAGCACCCCATAGAACAAAAACATGGACTGTCTGTGGGTCCCCTAGGGCTGGACTGGGTAACATTGCTCTTGATGATTTGCATCCATATGTCCTACATGGACTGAGGCAGTGCTGGTACTTGCAAGCTGCTGCAGCCTCCACCAAGTCCCAGAACAATGTAGCCCTTTCAAAATCAATACGATTACTGCCATTACAGCTGGAGCCCTAATGCAGCTGCAGCTGCCGCTATCCCAGCGCTATCCCAGAGCTATCCCAACGCTATCCCAACTCTATCCCAGCGCTATCCCAACTCTATCCCAG